ATGAGGCGGTGAGAGGCCCGGGGCCTACCTCCGAGAAGCGGGGTCGCGGCGCCGCCTAGCAGCGGGCCCCCTCTGGGTCCCCGGGCCCGGTGGCGAGGCGGCGGCGGCGGCTCGGCTGTGAGGAGGCAGGGAAGCGGGTGTCCGGGCCCCGCCATGGAGGGCATGGACGTGGACCTGGACCCAGAGCTGATGCAGAAGTTCAGCTGTCTGGGCACCACCGACAAGGACGTGCTCATCTCCGAGTTCCAGCGGCTGCTCGGCTTCCAGCTCAACCCGGCCGGCTGCGCCTTCTTCCTGGACATGACCAACTGGTGAGCGGCCCCGCCGCGCCGCGGCCTCGGGGCCCCGGGGAAGAGAAGGGAGGGGACACCGAGCCGGCGGCGGGCGGGCGGGCCGGGGAGCCCCGCGGAGAGATTGGGGGACTGAGCGGGGCTGGAGGAGAGTTGGGAGCCACGGGCACCGCAGGGCTGGACGGGAGGGGGGCAGTTCGCGGGGTTCTGCGGAAAATCGGGGCCCGAGGAGCGTGGGGCAAGGGCAGGAGGCCTGGGCGTCAAGGCATAGGTCGTAGATCTGGGAGGAGAAGCATGTGGTGTTGCCTGGGAGTAAAAAGCACGGGAAATACGGATTTGGGAAGTGTTGTTGGCGCTCGGGGAGTGACAAGATTGGGGCGAAACTCTCGGGGAGGGTTGTTGTCGTGCACGAACCTGGGGCACCGGAGAGATTTGGGAATTAGGAGCTCTGTGTGTGCGTGCGTGCGTGCGTGCGTGTGTGTGTTTCCATCGCAGAGAGATAAGAAAAAGACAGTAATTGGGGGGAAGGCAAATGAATGTGATGAGGGAGATGACTTTTGGAAGAGTTGCGCCAGGGAGGAGTGGGATCTATTAATGGAGGACCGTGCGTGTTAGACCTGGGACGGGGCTGGGGCGAAAACGTTAGGAGAAAAGGGGAGGAAAGGAGGTGATTACGAAAGGGAACTTTCTGAAGGGACTAGAGCCCTGGGAGGAGGGCTCAACTATGCCTCTTTGAGAAGGATCTCCAGGATGCCTGAGGTTGAGAGGGGCTTATTTGAAAGAAAACAGGTTGATAGACCTTTGAGGGAAATGGAGAAGTTAACTTAGGCGAGGAACCAAGTGTTTTTGGCTTGTAGCTAGGTTGTAGAAGACTGAATTGGGCCCGAAGACTTTGGCACACGCAAAGAAGTGTTTCTTGGCTTGGGAAGCAGCACTGGGTATTTGTGATAAGCAGAGCTTCCTCTGTTCCCTGAGTAGGGGTTGTTGAGTTCACTCCGGGTGAGGGAGGGAGTGGAGACCATTGAGTTCTTTGAAAGACTTTCAGGTGAAGCAGCTAAACTGTCTTTGGGCGAAACAGCAGTGGGGTGCGTGCCCTTTGCTCTGTGTTGGGCATTTAGTCTCCTGGCATGTGGAATCTTGTTTCTCTTGGCATCGCTTGCACGGCCAAGCTCCCCTTTATTTCCCCGTCCACTGAATGCCTCAGGCAATTGCAGAAAAGAGGCTGTAAGCCTTTTCCCTCCGTCCTTACCTAGCTCTCATCTTTAAAGGATGTACTCATCTTTAAAGGAGAGCCTTGTAGCTGTGGTGGAATCAAGGTGATTTGTAAAAAAAAAAAATTTTCCTGCAGAGTATCTTAAAAAGCTAGTTATTAGAGCAAGAGTTAAATTGAATTTCTAGATGTTTAGAGGCAGACATTGGATGCAGGAGATAGTCTTTAGAATTAAATATCTTTTGTGTCCAGATGAGCTTAGCAGGGAAATGCAGCTTAGTGTAGTTTTCTGGCCGCCAAACTGTAGTGTTTAAATAGAGGGGGATAGGGGTTTTTGAACACACTGAGAGAAACTTTGGGGAAATTTTAAAGTGAAGTTATATCTTGAGGAGAGTGGTTTTTTTGTTTTTTGTTTGTTTTGTTTTGTTTTTTCTAGCCTACCTGGTTTCCACTCCAGCTCTTTTTCTTCCTTGTTTACCCTAGTTCAGCATAGGAAACTTGGCATATTATTGCCACCAGTTTGGTAGGGAGGATCATTATTTCTCCTTACCTTCTAGTGAATTGGACTATTTAAACACTACTCTAATAAGTTTTTAGTTCTTTTAGAGTCGGTGTCTATAAGTACAATTATTATGACTACAAAACCAAGGTAATAAATTTTATATGCTTGGAGTATGTGTGTTTAACATCTGAGATTGTTTGTTTTTAGATGTTGTGAAAAGTGAGGAATAGGTGAGGTACAATGTGGGTAAGAAAACATTAAAATATAGTTGGGCTATGAAATTTTTTTTTTCATTTGGTACTAGAGGTTGTGCTCGGGCCTCCTGCATGGTAGGCAAGCATTCTTATTTTTAGACAGGTTCTTACAAAGTTGTCCAGGCTGGCCTCAAATTTTTCGTCCTCCTGAGTAGGTAGCTGGGATTACATGTGTGTACTATTATGCCCAGTAGCAGGTTATAAAAGATTCTGTTTGAGGGTTTTTGTTTTGTTTTGTTGTGTTTTTTTGAAATGATCTCGCAATGTAGTCTGTGCTGGCTTTGAAATCATTATGAAGCCCATACTGTTCTCAAACTCATGAACCTCCTCCCTCAGCCTCCTGCATGCTGGCATTACAGACTGTATTTGAGTTTTTAAATAAACTGTTAAACTCAGAGACAGTGGAGTAGTGGCATGTGTACTGATGACAGCATATCACTGTATAAAACAAGATACCTTTCTGAGCAAAGGAATGAATCATTAAAAAATGTAAATTTTTTTCCCCAGATTTTGGGATTCTCATATAGGGGCTCAGGCATACTAGGCAAACAATGTGCCACTGAAATAAATCCCAGCCCCTATGTTCTTATTTTAAAGTATGTGGAAGTCTGTAGTTCTTTAGGAATCCACACAGTTAAGTGGTAATTCAACTTCAAGTCACATTACCTTAAACTTTGGCTGCAGAAGGGATGTTTTTATTTGATTGTAAAATAAAAACTTTTGAATTAAGAGCAAGAAGGCTTGACATTTTTTTTTTTCTTCTTGTTTTGAGATTGGGTCTTCTTTTTGTAGTCCAAGTTGGCCTTTGACTCACTGTAGAGCTTCAGATGACCTTGAACTCAGGATCCACTTAGTCTCCAAAGTGCTGGTATTTTAGGTGTGTTCTGGCTTCTTTTCTATGTGAAGTAGTTAACTCCATAATCCAGTACCAAACTTTGATTCCTATATTGTCCGAATCTTGACAGATTTTTTAGAAAATGAATACAGTACTCATTATAATAAACTGTAGTTGAGTACATACATATGCATGCATGTATACTTAATAAAGTATGTGTGTTATTACTGAAGTAAATATAGAGTCCAAGCTGGACATAGTGGTGCATGCTTATAAACCCACCACCCAAAGGTTGAGGCAGGAGGACCACCTGGAGAGGCCAGCCAGGGCTACTTGGAGGGCAGGGGATGAGTGTCATTTAATGTCTAACTTCGGTAACTCTTGAAATAGCCCAAATATAGGTTGGGAAAAAACCCCACCAACTTGCTGTGGTGGTTAACCTTTTGAAATGGAGATGATTAACCTTCCTGTGACTAAAGTGCCTGCTTTGAGTTATAATAAATAATCATTGGATTGTCTGATGACTATTAAAAATAGTAAAGTAAAAAATCATTTTGAAATGAAGACTATTAATCTAAAATTATGGGAAAATTAATGAGTTGGGAAAATTCTTTGTTTTAAAAAATAAAGTTATTAAAAAATGGACTAAATTCAATGTTTTCACCTTGTAAATTATATACCCTGCTAAAATTATTTTTTACTAAAGTTGACAAAATTGTGTAGTATTTCTGTTTGTTTAATTTAGAACTAAGTATTGTTTTCATTTGAACATTTTTGTAGTGTTTATATCTGAACTTCCAGCCACACTCCAGCCACACTGCCTCTTAATATAGGTTGGCAGTTTTCATTTCCTAAGTGAATAAAACCAAAAGCCAGACTGTAATGTGTTATGTTAGTGTAACTTTCTATAGGGGGGACGTCTTGCAGGCTATTGGCGTAGGAACAAAGAACATAGAATTCTAAACTGGAACCTGGCTTTAAAGATTTTCTGGTTTATTCCAGCTTTTTCTGTAAAGTTGTATCTAGCTCTTCCAAAAAAGCTATCTGTCTTACTCTTTTATCCCAAAGGGCAGAGATTTGCATGATATCTTAGTGTTTTAATTAATTTTTAGTTAGAATTATGTCAAAACTAAATGTACCTTGCTGCAATTTAAAATTTCATTTTATTTTGGTCTTTTTGAGACCACAGTGATCCTCCTGCCTCAGCCTCCGAGTATTGGGATTACAAGTGTATACCCTCATGCCTGGTGCAATATAAAATTTTTTCATTTGCTTATGTCTTCCTTGATAATGGAGAAAATCTAATAAACACCTTTCTTAAGTGTCCAGAAAGTTTCAGTTCAAATCACTAAAAGTTTTCAACTACTTAGAATTTTATTTATTTATATATTTATTTATTTTTTGAGACAGGGTCTTTCTATGTAGTGCAGGCTGGCCTTGAACTCATGGTGATCCTTGTACATAAGCCTCCTGAGTGCTGGTGTGCACTGCCACACCCAGCTTTACTTAGAATTTAAGCATGTTCAACTTAATGGGTTCATGTTCCTTAATTTGTCTAACTTGTACGTGTGTGTGTGTGTGTGTGTGTGTGTGTGTGTGTGTATTACTTGTTTTGTTTTTGTTTTTGTTTTTTGAGACAGTCTCGCTGTGTATTCCC